CCCCCCCCCCCCCCCCCCCCCCCCCTGTTTCGGGGCGCACGACTTTCCAAAGAAATATGGTAAATCTCGGAAAGTCGTGCGCCCCGAAGCAGGAGGTAGGTGGGGTGAAAATATACTCTTACACCAATGTTTTCCTCTATATATTATAGAACTTTAATTTACTATATCTCCTAAACCAATGCCGTCCCTCACTTAATTCTTATGGGGAATCACTCAGGACACTCTTCCCTACAACATATCTAAAGGACATTAAAATCGGAGAGGTGTCATCTAAACTAGATATTTACCAAATTTACTAAATTTTAATACATATTTATTTAAATAGTAGTAATAAGTAAATCTAAACTTACAGTAAATAAATATTTACTAAATTAAAGAAAAGATAATTAAATCAAATTAATAGTTTTTGTATCAAATAAATATATATGAGCTAAAGAAAAAAATCGCAAAGCTTAGATATGCCATATGAGGTTATCCTATATTACATACATATATTTAGCACCAAAAATAACTATAAATTATAGTTAAATTATGATAATTGCAATTATATTTAGTAATAATAATTATAATTTATAGTCATATTCGGTATCAACTATATATTTTTTTCTATAGAACTATAAATATAATCATTATTACTAACATTATAACAGTAATAACCATAATTATGATAAATATCAAATTATAGTCACAAATACCAAACACTTTTCTCTCAGTATATGTAAAAAAATCTACAAATTTATATACATATAATATAATAATATGTTGACAGTAATCACACACAATTAGTAAGACAATAATTATAATTCTAATATTGCGTACAAAATTAAAAATTTAAAAAGAATATCCAATTATAGATCTTTTATAAAAAAAAAAAGGATATGAAAAAATAAATTAATTCTGGAATCAGTTATATTGAATCATAACAACAGCGCAGAAATTAAAATGCAGATATAGCTATTTGTTATAAATCTGAATAAAGATAATAAAATCATCATACATTTATATGAATTTGTATAATCGTATAATAAACTACAACTCGAAATGTAATAATAATATGGATATCTTTTGACAATATTTAATTTATTTTCATATTAATAAATTTTCTAATTTTCTTTACCCTTACAATACAAGGTACAATTTGCCTCATCCGTCCAAAAATGGGTCATTAGAATCTGTCCATTTTCTTCACTGTATTTAGAATGGTTCAAAAAATCTCTAAAAATTCACCAACATACTTTCAACTTTCTAGAATAAATATTGAAATTTCATTTTGGAAAATAATAAAATGTAGTATAATTTATAATTACCGGAAGACTCAAAAAAACTTGCACGAACAAGAATCGCTCGAATACTAGTGACCCGATCTTGAACGGTAAGGGTTAAATAATTATACTCTACCTTTCTTCCTTTTAAAATAATATATAAACTTATCACCAACACATACACGCGCGCGCGCGCGCGCGCGCGCGCACACACACACACACACACACACACACACACATACAGAGGGTGTTTAAAAAGTAATGATAAATCTTTCGCATATAAGAGCAGAATGGACTAAACTGAGAAGAAAAGTCCTCTGCCATTTTGCAGTTTTCGCGATAGTTAACAAGATATTAATTGCTAAAAATTGCTGAAAATTGGTCTTCATAATAATTTGTTACTCAAATATTATCAACTTTACAGAAAAACTGTAAGAGACAAAAATTGTTTATTTTCTTCTCATAGAGTTCTAAGAATTTTTTTAGAATTTTTTCAGAATTTTTTAATACTGCATTTTCTCATATTGGTAAAAATGAGAAAATGCAGTACTAAAAAGTAGATAAAAAATTCTGAAAAAATTCTTAGAGCTTTATGAAAAGAAAATAAATAATTTTCGTCTTTTGCAATTTTTCTGTAAAGTTGATATTATTTGAGTAAAAAATTATTAAAGACCAATTTTCGGCAATTTTTAGCAATTAATAACTTGTTAACTATTGCGAAAATTGCAAAATGGTAAAGGACTTTTCTTCTCAGTTTAGTCCATTCTGCCCCTAGGCGAAAAATTTATCATTATTTTCCAAATACTCTGTATATCTGTGTGTATTATATTAAACAGCGTCATTTTAATATAGGTTACAGTCAAAATAAATTCAGTTAAAGATATTTTGTTTAAAAATAGATAATGTAAAAATATTAGATTATACACTAATTTTATTTACTTATTTTTCTCTAATACGTTCAATTTCGGCTCAATTTATTACATAAAAGCACTTTTAACGAGACTACAAGGCCGCCAATATGGCAGTGATAAAATTGAAAATTATCTCTTCCGCTGTGCGTCATGGATTCAAGCTTGCGTCGACATTTATACGAGTAATAACAATGTCCCATGTACGAAATGATCGATAAAAAAAGCTACCGTGACAATGTGAAACGTCAGCGGTTTATGCCGTTACAATCGTTTCGTTTTACGTTCCTCGCAGATCTCATCTTTTTACGTTGCGGCCTCGTTTCGCAACTTTCTAATAGGTCCAAAATAGAAAAAACCAAAGATAAGATTATAAATAATATTAATATTCTACACAAATAATGCAAATAACAATTCAAAACGACCGAAAAATGTCTCCTTCTTTCTTCTAGTTCTTCTAATTATCATGTTTTAGTAGATTTTTTAAATAGACTTCCACGTTCTATTATTAAATAGCGTCATTAAATAAATTTTTCAAATACTATTGTTATTACATAATCGCATGTATGTAAGTCTTTATAAATATTATGTATTTAACATAATGATCAGTATTATAGATTTATAATTTCTTATTAGTACAGTTATACTTATTGTTAGTAATAATTGACGTGTGTCCCTACTTTTTGCATAACATGACAACTTAATAATTGCTAACTGTATGTATATTAATGTTTTATACTTCATTCAATCACAAGGGCATTACTATCAACAACTCCAAACTACATTTATATATTGGTAATGGTTTAAATCAAAATTAGATCGCATTAGTTAAGACAATTTTATATGTAATAGGTATTTAAAAATCTTATAATGTATATAGGTATTGAAAATGACTTTAAAAAAAATCGAAATTCTTTTGTTATGACAATGATTATCGTTATGACTTCTTTTTTCACTACGTAAATTTCACTACATAATTACATAAAAAATATAATAAATATATGTACAACATCTAGTGTCGGCTCTTTATTGGCATTTTTAAACATTATATATTTGATTTAATTCATTAAAAAAAATTAATTCTTATTTAGCAAGAGTATTTAAATTATTATTATAATTAACAAACATTTACTTTTCCGTCTTGTACATATAAAATCTCGTAATATATAAAAAATTACTAGTAAAAAAACAGATCGGCTTTCGCGAGAGATGACGCGTAAAAGATATTTCACATTATCACACGAGGAAATTCTTTGGAGAGGATCACTTAATATTCTTCAACTCGATATGCTCGATGAGCTAATGCATCAACGATTATTCTCCGCGCGGGATAATCATGTCGCTCTTAAAAAGTAGGGCGATCTTTTTCTTCGACGTTCTATTATTAAGCTCGATCATTTGTACGGTTTTAGAATATCGCCAACATCGTCTCAGACGTGATGATATTGCGGCTGTCTGTGTGCGCGAATTGTACGTGCGGATTTCAGAGATTGTATGCTGTTCCTACGATTGTTATCGCGGATTATCCGTGGATTATTCGTGTTCCACTTACCTTTTTCGGAGAGGGATGCAACACGGTCACCGGAACTTGGCGAGGGGTTGGCATGGACGGCAGCAGTTGAGTATGCTCCTTCACGGGAAACCGCGATAATTTCGACTCCCGATTCGAGGGTAACTCGAGCAGATGCTGTATCGAGTAATTCTGTCTTGTTTTCCTGGACGCCATGCTATTAACAAACAAATCCGTACTTTACAATATCTGCAACAATTTGATTATTTCCTACGCATACAGAGACTTGCAACAATATTGCTACAAAGTTGCAATATTATGGCAATGTTGCAATGTTGCTATACGGGTTATGAAACTGAAAAAAATGCACTGTATCTTGATAAATATTTTTTTTAATATTTAAAAGTAAACATTTACTTATAGTAAATAAATATTTACTCAATGACAAAAATGATAGTATCAAATAAATATATGTTAACATTCAGTAAATGTTTACTTACAAATATTCAAAGAAATATTTATTAAGATATAGTAAATTTGTTTTCAATGTATAACTATTAGCGCAAGCAGATGGTTCTGCAGATGGTTTCTTCGAATTTCGTATAAAACGTTTTTAACATATCAAATTATTAAATAGGAATCTGGCTCTTATTATCTATCTCTTATTATCAGTTATTTCTGCGAAATTTGTAATTCAGGATTTAGAGTCCTCTTTTAATTACGGAATTCGATGAATTCGCATTATATTCTTTGTGTTATCAAAGAGAAATATCTGGAAAAGTACATGGTTTTAAATTAAAACGTATTGATATCTTGCGTCGTGAATCATATCACTGTACGAATTTTATTTATAAATATCGAGGATGTTGAAAGCAAACGTTATTGTAATCACGCGACCAAGCCGAACGATAGCCATGTGCGTAGATACCTTTTTCCAGACGCGCAGAGGCACTGGATATCGGATAAAACTTTCGCATTTAACTTTTCCGTCCTGCTGGGGAAACGACCAACAAAGCTCATCACAGGAAAGTTTTCCGAGACAAGGACGGGCGATCGACTCAAAAGGGAGACAGAGCTCTCGGGTCGCGCATGCTCTTACCACTACAGAATCGCGACCGTGATTTCGCTACATACAAACTCCGATTATCCAAATATCTGACGTCCGGACGTTCATGGTTGTTAGATAAGCTATAAAATTGTCGACCGTTCTACAGAATATACCGGTAAATGGAATAATGAGTCTACCATTATACAAGAATAAATGCAATCAAAATCATTTATACAAGTAACCAAAATTACCAACTGTAAAACTAAGTATACATAAATATACCCGCTTACATTTCAAGCTCATTTTAAAAATTGCTCATTCTGTATATTTTTAATGTTCTTAATGTTCTTCTCAAATATGATGACTCTAAGTAAATTTTGCCGAAGTTTACATTTTTAATTCTCGAAAGTACATCAAATATTTGCTACAGATTCGTGAAAAAGAATCTTTCCAGGACCGACTCCCATAAGTTCCGTAAAAATCCACACACGGAACATATCTCCGTAAAATCCTCGTGTATGCGAGGATGTGATAGCTCACCCCTCGTCGCGAAAGTTTGTTCTCCCTCGCGTGTTACGCACGCGCCGCGTCGCGTGCGCACACACACACGCGCGCGCGCGCAAATACACATACCAGGCATACGTACATTTTGCTGGCTGCAAGCTGCAAACACATGTACGATGTCGACGAGGATTACGACCGTGACCTTACCGACCAAATCGTCAGCGAAAAAAGCAAGAATGGCCTTCCAACTATACCAAAACCACCACACCGTTCATCGCATACGTGATAACAACACAAAGTTTATAACCGTTAATTAGATTACCTTACATTCGTTACACTCAACTTATTGTTACAAAACCGCGTCCATTGATATATAATATATTTTTTTCCGCATATGTAATCTACGGTTATATAAAATAAAAAATTGACTGCTTATGACAACGAAAGTTTGCGTCTTGAATATATGTATATAATCAATTCACTTACTATCGACGTAACATAATTTATGACTGCGGAAATAGTTCGAACGATGCCTGCATGATTTCGATTTCAATCATTCTTTCAGTTTAAAATATATATAACAGGATATCACGTATAGTTATGGAATTGATATGCAGTGAATATGTTAGGATTAATTTTGGTGCAATTCATAGTAGATACGCCGCAAATATTATCAGCTTTGATCACCGAGTCGCAACGATCGATTAGACGCATTCAGCCATAATGCATACATATAACTCTAATTAGTCGTCCTTGATATGTGAAATCAACAATGCTTATTATGAATAAAAAGTTTCTAAGAAGAATTTATAATATATCCAAGTCGGCAGTGTATTAGAGTCGCGCATGTATATTTACTGAATTACTTTATGTTCTTCATAAGTTCTTTAAGACTTTCCTTATGACGTAAATAAATCTACTTTATAATCATTTTTAATATTAAGTATATTAGCAATCGAGTTTATAATATAAAAAAAACTTGCCAAACACATAAATTGACTTAAAATTATTTTAAAATCAAGATTGTATTATATAGTTATCATTTGTAATCACCTTCTTTTTAATTCACTTTTTCACAGTTTTATTGCTAGAACATATTTTATTGTTTTCAGAATTAAGATTCGCATATTTGCAAACTACGTTACCGTTGCATGATTCTATGTTCCAATTCACATATCGATGAATTCATGAATTATCTACGATCTTTCAATAAAAAATTCACTGCATAAACAATAAATCACACGAATAAGTAGATTTTTGCAAAACGATATCCCAACTCCTTCCGCTTCTTCCTATTTCCTCTCAATCGATTTGCCATAAACGTGCATCGCCTGTTACGATCGTACTCTTCTGAACTTCAACCGAATTGGAACGCGACCCGAGAATTAAATAAAGTGTGATCGATCACGTCCACAATGGATTCGCTTAGCAGATTTTACAAGACATGCCACTTCGTAATAGAGTTTGTTTTAATAAGTGTTTAAACATAAAACTTTAAATATATGAAACATCAGCTGTTTTGTAAAAGATTTTATACAAAATGTTTTCAAACTACCAAACAAACTTTTCTATAAACTTTTTAGTCTACTTGAAATTAACTTTGCATAACAAAAATATCATGAAAATTACATTATTTGCAAATTTTCAACGTTAAACATTATTCCAACTTATCTACAAATTAGAAACTTCTCGAAAAGTATACAATTTACTTAAAACTGAAATTTTAATATCTTTAATTAAAATTTTATTATATATATAATTATAATTTGTTTGTTTCTTAAAACGTATTCGAAACTTTCTTTTATTTCTACGTAGCGCTTATAATTTAAATATTATTAATTTTTCAAAGGAGTGTCATATAATATCATTGTGTATAATAGCCTAGAATTGCATACAGCAAACTAATTCAACCTAGAATTAATGTAATGTATTTATATGTATTTAATTTATTTAATCAAATACAAATATATTTAATCAAATACAAATGTTCATATGATTGACGTACAAACAATAATAGAACATAAACTAATTGAGTAATTACACAACATTTTAACCTTTTAAAAATTAATACAAAAATAAAGGAATTTAATCTAAAGGATATTCAATCATATCACCGTATAAACGGGGATCATTTGTGTCCAATTGATTTTTTTAATTAGGAATATTTTGAAAACAAGTGAGTACGGGCGCGCTGTTCTACTCTTTGAAAAAGTTGTGGGGTGAAGTAAGGTGCTTGTGAAAGCCAAGTTGTGAGCATCATTTTCTCGCTGAGAGCGGATATTCAAAATCGAGCGCAGACCCAAATGACCTTCGTTTACATATGGTAAAGGTTAAAATGAAATATACACAAAAAGATAGTTTTGTTAAAATATCTAATATATCTAAAAATTGAAATACATACGGATCTAAAATAATTATGTTAGATCATAAAAATAATTATACAGAATACTCAAGCATGATGATAATGCTATAAAAAATTTTGACATTCTAGCAACCAGTTTGAGTGTCCAATATACAGAATTATTTTGATAGTCCATAATCATTATTTTCAGATCAATATCTAGTTAAATTTTAGATTCGATCATAAAGTAATAAATATTTTAATTTAGCATTAAAAGGTTTGTATTTTGTAGTTTTGTTTTATTCCTTCTTGTATACAATATTCCAATCCGAAACAAGCAATCAAATCACTATCTTTTCGCGTCTTAGATCAGTTAGCAAAAGCAACAGCAAAGAAGAAAAGAAGGGGAATAAGGAGAAGAAGAAGAGAAGAGAAGAGAAGAGGGAGGATACGTATTTCAGTCATCCAACCAACTTTTGCAAGTTTAATGCCCGGGCGCTCGAGTAATTTAACACGACGAAATTAACTTTTCAGTTTTACCAAAGTTTCCTGGCAACTTAACCGCGTCTCCACCCCCTTCTCGCTCCTTTCACATCCTCCCGCGTTTCCCATTCCCCCGGAATCTACTTCCCTGCACCCATCCCCTCGAACACGAAGAGCCAGGACCAACTTTTAAAGCGCTCGTCGTGGTAACAACTGCGTAGCGCAGCGCTCGCTCCGCCGAACTATAATTCCACCCTTAAGACCCGAAGTTTACGACGTAAACTTCCCCACTCTCGCCGCGGCGGTGGGCTGACGCCGATGCTGCAAGTCTGTGAGAGTGAGAAGCCGAGACTGAGAACGGTTATCGAAATCATCGTTTCAACTGAACGTTATTCGATGATAAAAAATTTATAACAATTGAACTCTCCACAACAGATTTTCGAAAGTAACTTAAATAGTATATCAAATAAATTTAAGTATATCAATAAATTTAACCTTAAATCTATTGGATTAAATACTGCTAAGTTTGCATACGTATTTTAGAGCAGTCATATCTACGGAAAGAACGTTAAAGTACAAATTTAAAAACTATTTTATTAGACAATGAAAATAACTATATGGAACGCTTAAGCGTTGATGACAATTCTGCAAAAAGCTTTAACATTCTAGTAACCAACTTGAGCGTCTTAAATAAGCGTCTTAATAAATAATTTGATAATTTAAATAAAATTATCTTCGGATCTATATCTAGTTAAATTTTCAAGTATATACTTAAACAAAACCATTCTTTCCATGTATAATTTATAATATATAGTAAATTTCTTATATATAATAAATATTAAAATATCAAAAATAAGCACATGAATATAAATATGTTTATATTATTTGTGCAAACATTGTTGTGGTAAAACATATCTAGTTTTGTTCGTGATTCTGTTTGTGTATTTTTTATCTTTTGTAATGTATATTATAAAAGTGTCGTAAATCAACAACAAATTGTTTATTACAATTCTGTGCGCGCTCACAGGCTCTACTAGATTATCGATAGCTACCTGAAAACGATGACAAATTCGTTTACGAACAAATCAATAAAGTCAAAGCGTAATATAAAAAAAAATAAAGGATTATTCGTGTGAATATTTTTTTTCTTGTTTTCCAAGCGTACGATTCATTTTTATTCATGCGACCTCCGGTGTTTCATTTATAAATTACATCGTTGGAACGTGATCATCGATTAATCATATAAATAACAAGAAATACCTTCAAGATAATTTTCACTCTTTCTTTTTTTTTCTCTTTTTTACGAATCTTCCCTTGACTATGCAGACGCAAACTTAGAGTCTCGGTCGATCGGGCATCCGATGCCCTCCCCCCCGTGCCAATACTTCTCCGACTAGTTTTGCGTGGCTATTATAGCCGCACGATTGGCTCTCCGTTACTTCCCATTCGTCTGTCCTGGTATCCGCAACTTCTCGACGATCTCGAGACTTTTCACCGAGAGTCAGCACGACAACGACTACCGGGCGGATATCGTAACTTGAGATATCGTCGCTATCGCTCATTCCAAAACGTCAGTTCTTCCGGCAAACAAAGACTTTAATGACTCGGACTTTCCATTCGCATATTTGACTGCAAAAAGCCACCGTAAAAATATCCCGCTCGTGATAAATGGACACGCATGCGAGTATATTATTGTTGAAAATAGAGATCTACTCGAGGGAACTGTCCAAAAGATGCGGATGACTGTGACAGATTCATACTTCCCATCGCGCAACAGCAGAATATACGACACGAAAGATTGCGCTCTGTGAAGTTTCGACGTTCCGAACTTCTGAAGCGACATTCATCGGATACAGAAGGCAAGATGGAGAAAAGAAATAGGAACTATAAAAAAGAGGGACCAATGGTTGACTGAGCTCATAAAGAAATATGTCGATTCAACGACGGGATTCCAACTTTCCTCACGGGTATCCGTCTCGTAACTGCTTTGCAAGTAAAGGTACAAAATTCCGAAAGAATAACAAAGATTAAGTTTGCCTTCTAGAAAAAATTCCACACACATTGGCGTATTATTTTTTCATCGAATCGATTCAGATGTTAAACTCTTTTCAAGTCATATTGTTATAAAATTGTCTAAATATTATAATATTGTTTGATGCAATAGTATAAAAAAATAAGGAGTAAATTTTATTTATACGTCGAGATTTCATAAGCTATACAACTGGAACGAGAATGCATTATTTAAATTCAAATCCCATCCTTGTCCTATTAAGTTCATCCTCTCATCCCTCTTAGCCCATCTCCTATTACAGCATGTTATCGTACGCTGGACCAAAATGGAATAAGAAGAGAAATATGGCTTGTATTCAAAATAGTTTTTGCAAGAATAGAATGC